CGGAAATAGGTCCGAAAACCCAGTTTTTTTGGTGGAGGCCGATCTGCAACCCAAGCTCGCTGTTTGGCTGCACAGGTTCCTTGCAGAATTATTGTGTGTGTTGGCATGTCATACATAGTTGTACTCTACCGGTACCGCACTGGCTTCTTTTAAACTTGCGGTTTTAGTATGGTTAAGTTGCGAATTATCGTATAATGTATTCTGTACTTTACTACCATAAACCCCCCCCCAAGGTTCCAAGGCGTTTTCGGGTTTCGGGGGGTTTAAGGTCGAATGGCGGTTTCGGATATAGATTGTGTACTGTATTTTCTGCGCGTCGCACTTGCCGGGCGTCTGGTCGTTTCTGTCTTCGAGAGAGCCTACGCAGCAGCGTATTAGCCAGCGAGCCGTGCAGCGTATTAGCCAGCGAGCCGTGCAGCGTATTAGCCAGCGAGCCGTGCAGCGTATTAGCCAGCGAGCCGTGCAGCCGTGATTTGCACGGTCAGTTTTGAAACTGCACGGCCAAAAAAAAAAATTTAATTTTCCGTGGGAGGCCCCCTGTACCCCCCAATGAGAGGGGGGAGGACCCCCTCTTATCCTCTCCCCCGTGAATGCCTGTGGCGTTCACGAAGACCGCCTACGGCCGTCTTGGCTGAGACACATTGATCTAAAGCCGTGTACATTTGTAAAATTGCACTCTCAAATATTTTTTCTGCAATCCCACAATACTCATTCCTGACTAATACCCTGGAGCGAGGCTCAATCCCACAATACTCATTCCTGACTAATACCCTGGAGTGAGGCTGACTAATCTATCATGTGCGTTGTCGTTTGCAGTGGGTCAAGGCGCGCTCGTACTTCCAGCAGGCGGCCGAGTACATGGACGCCGACCCGCGGCTACGCAAGACGATGTGGGGTCAGTTCTGGTCGGCGCACCAGCGCTTCTTCAAGTATCTGTGCATCGCCGCCAAGGTTAAGCATGCCGTGCGGCTGTCGCGCGACGCCGTGAAGAACGGAAAGGTACGCGGGGCGGTGGCGGCGGGGAGGGGGGCGAAGGGGCGGGGCGGGGAGCGGGGCGTGTGCGGTGTATGTGTATGTGATGCAGTGTTCTTGTCTGTGCAGTGCATTGTCATGTTAGCGTAGGTTCTGTGTGTGTTGTCGGTGAGTGTGTGCGTGTATGTGATGCAGTGTTCTTGTCTGTGCAGTGCATTGTCATGTTAGCATAGGTCTGTGTGTGTCGTCGGTGAGTGTGTGCGTGTATGTGATGCAGTGTTCTTGTCTGTGCAGTGCGTCGTCATGTTAGCGTTGGTCGGTGATGTGATTGCGCGTGTGTGATGCAGTGTTGCTTGTCTGTGCAGTGCGTGTCTGTTAGGCGTAGGTCGATGAGTGTGCCGTGTATGTGATGCAGTGTTCTTGCTGTGCAGTGCGTCGTCATGTAGCGTAGGTCGATGAGTGTGCGCGTGTATGTGATGCAGTGTTCTTGTCTGTGCAGTGCGTCGTCATGTTAGCGTAGGTCGATGAGTGTGTGCGTGTATGTGATGCAGTGTTCTTGTCTGTGCAGTGCGTCGTCATGTTAGCGTAGGTCGGATGTAGTCGTGCGCGTGTATGTGGCATCAGTGTTCTCTTGTCTGTGCAGTGCGTCGTCATAGGGTTGCAGTCTACGGGCGAGGCACGCACGCTGGAGCAGCTAGACGACATGGGAGGAGAGCTCAGCGACTTTGTCTCCACTGCCAAGTAAGCAGCGCATCGCGTCAGTACATAACCCAAGGCGTGCGTGTTCTTGCACTGGGCGTGTTTTACCATGCCTCCGTAACCTTCCTGTGAACCTCCTATGTTCTTGCGCCTGGGCGTGTTCTCACGCCTCCTACCTTCCTGCTGAACCCCCGTTGTTCTTGCAGGGGCGTGTTCCCAAGCCTCCTACCTTCCCCGCTGAACCCCCGTTGTTCTTGCAGGCTGGCAGGTTCCCAAGCCTCCTACCTTCCCCGC